GTGTGGCTCTGATCCTAGTCAGCATGTGAAATATTTGGAAAAATAGCCCTGGCCGGTTTGGCTCAGTGGATAGAGCATCAGCCTGCAGACTGAAGGGTCCCAGGTTCGATCCCAGTCAAGGGCATGTACCTCGCTTGCAGGCTCCTCCCAGGCCCCCTGGTCTGGGCACATGCAGGAGAGGCAACCAATCGATGTGTCTCTCACATCGATGTTTCTGTCTTTCCCTCTCCCACTCTCTCTAAATCAATGGAAAAATATCCTTCGGTGAGGAAAGAAGAAAGGAGGAGGAGGAGGAGAAGGAGGAGGAGGAGGAGGAGAAGGAGGAGAAGGAAGGAAGAAAGAGAAAGACATAAAGGAGAACCCAATGGAAATGTTGGAATTGGAAAAACACAATCACTAAAGACCCCACAGAGACCCTAACTAATGGATTCAATCGCAGAATGGGGACGACAGAGGGAAAAACCGATGAGCTTGAAGCTGTATCCATAGAAGTTAATGTGGGCAATAGAGTAAGAAGAAGAGCCTCGGCCTGCGGGGCAACGGAAGGGCTGGCACTGGTCACTGGAGGCCGGAGGGGAGGAGAAACACGGGAAATACTCGCTGGAAACTCCCCACGTTTGGTGAGAAGCACAAGGACCCCCCACCAAGACGGCTCCAGAGTCAAACTGCTGAAAACAAGGGGGGGGGCGAAATCTTAAAGAAAATCCAGGAAACATGATGTATTACCTGTAGGAAAACAATGATTCGAACGACTGGACATCGCATCAGAAACCTAGAGCCAGAAGGAAATAGTCCAACAAAACATTTTAAAAATATTTTTATTGATTTCAGAGAGGAAGAGAGAGGTAGAAGCGTCAGTGATGAGAGGGAACCAGTGATCGGCCTCCTGCACGTTGGACGGAGCCCGCAACCCAGACATGGGCCCTTGACCGGAATCGAACCCGGGACCCTCCCGGCCGCAGGCCGACGCTCTATCCACTGGGCCACACCGGCCAGGGCTCAACAAAGTGTTGTGTGTGTTTGTTTGTTAATCCTCGCTAGAGGGTGTTGTTATTAATTTTCCATTAAATTTTTTAGAGAGAATGGGAGGGAGGGGAGAGACCGAAAGAGAGAAACACGGAGGGGGAGACGGACCAGTGGCCGCCACACGCCCCGCCGGGGAGGAGCCTGCAGCCGAGCCCGTGCCCCGAGGGGACTCGAACCCTGGCCGGGCGTCGCCAGCGCGTGGAAAAGTCAGCGTCCACGTTTATG